TCACAATATGTAACATCCCTTTAAATGAAACCCTTCCAAGTGTGAAGAATGCGTTAAGGTTTTATCAAATGAATGCTCTTTGTGTAGAAAAACCGATCTAAACCGTGATTTAAACTTTACAACCACGACCCTCTTTCCATTTGAGCAGACGCCTGGTGGAGGCTGAGAGGGCAGGGGCTTATCTCAGACCTCAGGGGATATCCCGGGAAACCAAGCTGCTCTGCAGGAATTGTCCAGAATTGACACCAACAGGAATTCCTTTCCAGGCTCGGTGAGACCGCGAGGCTGTAGATTGGGTGTTGAGTTCCACTGAGAGAAAGGGAGGCCACTGGGCTTTCCATTTACCCGGGGAACCGTTCCTGAAGATCCTCGGTGGCTTGTGCGTGCGTGGCCGTCTCTGGGGGTGATCAAATCCAACCCTCACCCCGCGGGGAGGCGGCTGCACACAGACCGCAATCATGCACCTGCCGCTTAACAGATAAGCCCTCCAAATGCGGAGGCACTCGCCCAGCTGTGGCGGAGGAGCCGAGCGAGCCGGCCCCTTCCCTCCCCCTTCCCCGCAGAACAAAGGGCGGTCATTTTCTGCTCCTCCCAGAGTCAGAGGCACGAACACGCCTTCCATCACAATTAACTCAGGAATCCGAAACACAACACAAACCCACCGCAACATGCTCAAAATCAATGCCGTCAATATCCAGAACGAGAATACCAAAAAAAAAAAAAAAAAAAGAAAAACAAAAAAAACCTATTCCAAGAGTAAATACTCAAAGCAACAGGGCTTGAGAGTCAGCCACACTGACTCAAGGTCAACCAATCCAAGACAAGTTCAAGTACTGGCCGCCTTATAGACTGAAGAGCTGGCCATTATCCCAGGGGTTGCAAAGGTAAGTGACTTCAGGGGGCCAGGTAATGGAAAGATCCATAAGATAATAGAAGGTGGGCCTGTCATGAGCAAGACAGCAGGTGCTCCAGAGAAAGGCATTCAAATTCAATTTTTTTTAAAAAATTTCAACTCCTGCTACATGATTCTTAAACAGAATCTACAATCAGAGAAAGACACAGGGTTAAATATGGGTGTAGGGTGAAAGAAACAAGAATGAGAGTCAAAATCGTAAATGTTGCCAAGGAGTCCATGTGGGCTGAAAGGCAGGGCAGCGATCCTAGCTGTCATTATTTGAAAGGATGGTGACCACTTGGTTTTTATCTTCAAAGGCAATAGCAAAACAAAAGCTAAAAGAAATGGCCGATTAAGCTCTAATATGAGGGATTCGGATGAGTCAAATCAGTTTTTGACATAAGTAACTATTGAGCTGGATTGCAAAATGATTGCACACATTTCCTTGGATGGCTCCCTGTAAATGGAGCTTCCTAATACTTTAGGTGTGGCCTTATTGGAAGGCAAAGGGGGTGGGACAAATGACCTCCCAAGGTCCTGATTTAAATATGTCTGTAGAGTCAACTCTTGGTTATCCAGCCCCAAGGAGGAGACAGTGACAAATCATCCTAAGCTGGAGATAATAAAAAGTTATATTTGCCTTTGGAATGTATTTTGGTACTTAAATTAGAACGTGTCTGTCTGATGCTCTGAGAATTCACAATGCTTCACAACAGCCACAAAGAAACCCTGACCTGGGGCTGGGAGGCTGCCTGATTCCGCCATCCTGTCCTCCGCGTAACTCTTATCCTTTGCCGAGGACGAGCAACGAATGCCATCTTTCAGAATAACAGCCAGCAGCTCAAGCTTCCTCAGACAGAGGCTGCCTGTCACAAGCCCTTCCCTGGGAGAAAAGACAGGGGTCTTTCTCCAGGTCTCACCCACAATCAAGTACTGCTTGATCCGGTTCTTATTCCCAGAGGACTACTCCAAAGTCCCACAGGACCCACAGGAAGCAGCAAGCTAGACAAGGGTTAGGTATCTACTCTAAGTTCAGTACAAATGATGATCTAGCTTCTCAGCCTCAGAGGACACAAAAGCAAATGTCTTGAGTGCCTTGGAAGAGGAAGAGAAAAGGACTTCATTGAAGAGGAAGATGAAACCCACGCCCAGTGCTTGGAAAGAAAGAAACTGCAGGAAATGTGGGAGCAAGCCCCTGACGGAGACCCACACTTGAAGTCACGTTTGCTCTGAGACTGACCTCAGCAAATGGTTTCAGGGTGGGGGAGTGTGAATAGCACATCATCTTTGACCTGGAAAGGACAAGGAGACACTAAAAATTCTGTGGTCAAATGGTTCTGCTTCTTCTCCAAGAGACCTAGGCCAGGACCAGCCTGGGGACAAGACCTTCTCTGATAGATCGGTTCTTTGCAGCTGAAAGATGAATCATGAGGAGGGTGGTGCAGCCAGAGAGATGCCAGGGAAAGGGGCAGGATGGTGAGGAAATGAGACAAGTCAGCTTCCAGAGGCTATTGCTCTTCTGTAGGGGGCAAGTTCAGCTCTCCAGGCCTTTTCTGCACCTCCCTCTGCAGCCCCTGGAGAAAAGTGAGCAACTGAGCAGGAAAAATGCTCAGGTCTCCTGACGTGGCTGGGGAGAGGGAGCACCAGGTTGTGTGAACCAGAGCTGGCTTCGTGGCATGGGTGGACACAAGTTATTGAAATCAGAGATGCCTGTGGAGACAGTGAGAGACTTGTCACGTGCTGGGCCCTGTAGCTCCTTCCAGGTGTTCCAGAGGAAAGGCAACGAGGGTGAGGAGGCCTGTTCACATCTAAGGTCTTGTTTTTTCCATATTAATTTATGGGAATACAAGGTCCTACCATCAACCAGGATGAAAGGACGGCATGTTCAGAGTAGTAGCTGGGGGCTGGGGGTGGGCATGCGTGGGAGGAGAGGGATGGTTGATTGCCTGCTGTTCTCTGTCTTCTGTCCCCAGGGTCTACCAGGGGGAGGCTGAGGTCACACCGCAGGAGACAGGGCCCACGAGAACATTTCAGAAGGACATCAAAGTCCTTTAACTGGAGACTTTGGCATGGTTGAACATGGCTTTGGAAGTCTGGCTGGGCACGGACTTGGCCAGGAGAGCTTCTCCTTGATTGAGTGATCGGGCAGTCACAGGGCAGAGCACAGGACAACTGCGCAGCCCACAACTCTGCTCAGCTCACCTCGGGTGAAAAGGGTCGCTACCATCATCATTCCTAGTTCCTCTTTTCCTGTCACAATCTGCTTTTTAGTTTTTCCATCTGGAAAACCAGAACTGAACTGTCCAATCTAAATGTGGCTATTTAACTAAAATTAAATCAGATTAATAATTCAGCTCTTTGATCGCAAGAGCCATATTTCAAGTGGTTAACGGCAATATGTGGCTAATGGACACCAAGCGGGGTGGTCCCAATGGAGAATGGTTAGGTCTTCATGGGGAGTTCTATAGGATGGCACACTTCTTAGGTCTACAATCTAGCACTGCTCCTCTTCACCGTATAGAAGAAATGGATAGTAAAATAAGAAATACACTTTATAAAGTATCTGTCCTCTCCATTATCACTACTGATCCTTGTGATTGCCCTGTGAGGTATGTAGGTAGATTTCAATATGCTCCTCTTATACATGAACAAAGTGGGTCTGTGGAGTTAAATGAATTCACAACTATTGGGTTAAGTGTGGTTAAAATTAAAACTGGGTCTTCCGCAGGGCAGGGTTTTGCAAGTTATTACTAAATCCCAGCAACTTGAGAGGGTGAAGCAGGAAGACCACAAGTTTGAGGCCAGCCTCAGCAACTCAGTGAGGCCCTGTCTCAAAATAAAATTTAAAAAGGGCTGGGGATGTAGCTCAGTAGTAGAGTGCCTCCGGGTTCAATTCCTAGTACTTAAATAAATAAATAAGATTTAAAAAAAATAAAACCAGGTCTTCCATTTCCAAGGTCATGCTTTTTACTGTTACCTGCAACTGCTACAAATAATGTTACCTGCTGGTACTTTGTTCAGTCCCTCCATAAAACTCAGACCTCCCAGAATGAGGCCGAGAGGCCCCTGTAGTGTTTTTATTGATTGACTGATTTTTGAAGTGATAACTAAGCTTGGTACAGTGCAGCTTGATACCTCAAGATTTAGGCAGCCTTAAGGTTCAAGACCTGACTCGTCCCACTTACTATTTATTTACTTAACAAGAGAGCAAGCTGCTTACTACCTCTGAACCTCAATTTCCTCTTCTCTAAATGGGGATGACAGTGTTGTCAGGACGATGGAATAAAACAATGCATGCAAAATAAGATGATGGACAGGACCTGACACATAGTAGTGTTCGATAAGTAATAATTACCAATGGGGATTGGCAGAATTGACAATGCACTGTCATGTGCAATAGGCTTTTGAAATTTCAGGACAGGTCATTACAGCTACCTCCCCCCAGTTTTTATAGAACATGCATTTGAATCAGTGAATAAGGCACTGACTCAAGATCATACAACTAGAAAGTTGTACACCTAGGGCTCTCTCTCAAGCTATTTGAACTCCAAGTCTACGTGTTTCTTATAATATAAGGTTGCTTTTTCTTGAGAGAAGAGAGCAGTGGACCCCAAGGCATGGTGAAAGGAGATTTAACAACACCTCTTGATTTCCATCTTCTCCTCTTTGAAATGAGCAACCGTTTTCTCAGTTTTATGCAAATTACATAGTGCAAAGCAGGCTGAGCATCTCCTCATACCTGGCTGCCATCTTTAAGCCCCTCCTATGTATATCTCCTACAGCCCCCCTGGGAAGCAGGTAATTCCTGTATGAGCCATAAATATAGTGGGAAGAGTCTTGAAGCCCCAGAAAACCCTTGCATCAAACAGCCTCCATCCACACTGCCGTCCTTCCCAACTTCCTGCTGTGGCAAAAGGCAAAGCCACAGCAACCCCCACCCAGACCAACCCAGCCAGGCTGTGGCTGAGCTGTGGAGGATCACAGGGCGATGACTGAGAATGTGTGTTGTCACAAGTCACTGGGTTTTGGAGTTATTTGTAACACAACCATATCACAGCAAAAACCAGCTAATATATCTGTCACACCTTGGGTGGGAGGCACTTACCCCGCCACAACAATCTCGAAGTCCCCATCGTGGTCCACATCAGTGACGGCCACACCATAGTTGAGCTGAGTGGGGTTGCTGTCATAGTCAGGGGGTAGAACTGAGTTGGTGACTGCAGTGAACATGGGTTCAGCCCTCTGGGACCCCTCAGTGGGGGGCAGAAACCACAGCAGTAGCGGGAACAGTAACATCCTGGACACCTGAAACCAAAAGTCATGAACATTACTGGAAGATCCTGAAGCTGAAGTATCCCAGGGAAACCCAATCCCAGGTCAGCCCAGAAGTGCCTTTCTCTGTTGCGGATATAGCTTAGTGGTAGGGCTCCTGCCTAGCATGTGTGAGGCCCTGGATTCAATCCCTTGCACCACACAACACACACACACACACACACACACACACACACAATAAGAAGTGCCTTCTCCCCTCTCATGCCACACTATTCCACAAGCCTTTACAGACCTTTCTCTACATTGCAACCTGCCCCATCACTGTGGAGCACCTTGTCCTGATCTGCTTTCTCTTTCCATGGCGCCTATCACCGTAAAACACACAATATAATTTACTTACTCATTAAACTTATTTACTATCTTCCTCTGCTACAATATAAGTGCCACTTGAGCAAGGAACTTTGTGTGTTTCATTCACTGAAGGACACCAAGCCAAGGGCAGGGTACACAGTAGGCACCCAGTATGTATTTGAGGAAGGAAGAAAGGAAATATACACAGGCATCTTCCACATTCTGGGAGAAATATTGAAAAAAAAAATGCAGAAAATAACCACTCTCAAAGAGTGCAGAGGTGAGGCTAAGGCCCCCATGAGCATCCAGGCCTAGAACAGCAGAAGCAGTGGGCTGTCTTCCTGTGGGATGTTGGGATGTACTACAAAAGTAGCCTGAGGGGAATCTGTGACTTGCAAGTTCCCTGAGCCAAGATCCCTCCTAAAGGCAGCTGGCCTCCAGACCAAGAAGCAGCCAGTCAGGGGATGCATTCCAGCAAGGTCTGGCGGGTAGCACATCATTCACTTGGAGAAATTAAACCATTGCGTGCGTGTTTTATTATAAATTAATTATGTATAATGCATTGTATAATTCATTATTATATCTCTAACATAACTCAGGGTGTTGCCAAGCAGCCTGGGGCCATGGGAGCCGGTGGCACTCACCCAGGAGACAGATGAGAATGGCCAGGGAGGTGGAAGGACTCCACCCTCTCTGAGCCTGAGCAAGGGAGGCACTTGGAATGCTCCAGATGGCGCCGCCCTGAGACTCTGCCCGCAGGCGTAGAATTAGACCTCAGAGTGTTCCAAAAGCTTGCTGGGACATCTCACAGAGTCTGTGCAGGCCCAGTCCTGCCAGGCAAAGTGTATCTTCCCGCCTTCGGAAGGCAGCAAACCTCTTCCTGATGGGACTTTTGCTGCTGGTTCGACAGTGCATCTGGAGGCTGAGAACAAGGTTGGCTGAGACTAATGTCTTAATGAGGGAAGAGCAAGGAAGATCTGAAGACTGTTTCCCTACTTGGAGACAGACGCTCCTGCCAGCAAATGAGCTTGCTCCAGGTCAAAGGCCCAGAGACAAAAATGAAAGGCCCAGGCGCTGCCTTCAGAGCCAAGATCGGAAGCCTCCCTGGTGCCCTGCTGGAGGAGAGGCCGGAGACAGACCTGGGGCGGGGCTCCAAGTGCACGGCAGAAACTGCTGGTGAGCCTTCAGGGGAAGGAGGTCTTGTGGCATGTTCATCGGGTGCATGTTGGGAGTTGCACTATCAGATCTGAGTTCATTTCAAAGAACAGAGACTTCCGAATAAGACAGCAACTTCTACTGGACTGTCTAGTCACGAAAGGCAAATGCATCACCATAAGAGTTGTAGGACTTGGCAGGCAGTTTGATTGGATAAAGGAAACTCATAATTGGATAATGAGTGGTTGGGGGTGGGGGGAAGATAAAGAGTGTTTAATAACCTGTGTAAAGACGTGATGAAATGTAGCATGGGTTTGAGTCACCGGACTTTTCAAGGTATGACTTCTATTGAAGGGACAGCAAATGAGTTTCAACTTGAGAACCAAACCCAAGAGACTGGCAGCAGCTGGGAAGAGTTATCAGCTTGGAAGAGTTATCAGCTTACAACATCTGCAATGAGTGTGGAAGAAGAAAGTGGCATTGGGTGTGCCTTCCAGAAGCAAGTTAGTTCCTTGGAAGCATCATACCTACTATCATTTGGGTCAGTGCCACCAGGCATTGGGTCCTGTTCAAGTAATACAAGCCTGACTGTTAGAAATTTTCTAATGAAGACTGTGAGGGGCAAGAACTGTGATCCAGTCTCTTGCTTTCTATCTGTTCTCTGAAAAGTTAAGCTTTTAATGAAAGGAGCTAATTGGGGAGGGAAAAAAACTATTCTGTGTTACTCATTTCCAGATAAATAACTAAAAGCAAGATGAAAAAGAAACAGGGCACCTCTAGGTCAACCTCTCTTTTTCTTAGTGATCTTGAACAACACAACCATTTGGGTCCCAGGTTTCTCCTCCAAAATGAAGGCTTGGAGATCTCGAAAGGTCCTTCCTGGTTCTAAAATTCTGTGATGGTTTAAAGGATTTTCTTTGGGAAAAAGACCTTCAGCAACCCCTGCCCCCGACACACACACAGCTTCTTCTGTAATCTTCAAACCAATCTGCACGGTTTTCTTTTCTCAGCATATTAAACATGTTTGAATAAAATAGCTTTCCAGGAGGGTCCTACAGTAGTTCCCTCCAAAGCTCCAAGGCTAGAGAGAAACAACCAGCATGAATGTGGATCCTGAATTCACTCAGAAGGCAGAACCAGTGGGGGCCCTCCCCCCCTGGCAAGCGGGGCAGGGGGAATGTGTCCTTTACATTTCACTCTCCTGACAGGCCAAAGTCAGCCCATGTACCCACCGGGGCTCCTTGGTACTTACTAGTGGAAAGTTAGCTGGTAAGGGGTGTGCTATCTTGATGGTGGATAAGGAAACAGTCCTGATGAGGAAGTTTAGGAGACAGTTGATAAGTATCAACCTCTCATCTCAGGACTCAGATGGAGGAAATCATCAAAATGCTCCTCCACACCCTGGCTACCCGGAATGATCCAGGCACTAGAGAATCAGCACCGGAGTCTGTTAGAATGCAGAATCTTGGGCCCCACCCCAGACTTAACAGACCAGAATATGCATTTTAATAGGATGTTAGGTGAACTGAATGCACATTCAAATGAGGAAAACATTGCTCAGTCTTGGCTGTACATCAGATTCACTTGGGGAGTTTTTAAAAAATTCTCACGCCTGACAATGATTCCTTGGATAAGGCCTCCAAAGCACAGTCAGTGAAAGAAAAAGTAGATAAAATAGGCTACGTCAAAATTAAAAACTTTTGGCATCAGGGACATAGCAAAAGAATGAAAAGACAACCTATAGAATTGGGGGAAGATATTTGCAAATCATAAATCTGATTAGATATTAATATCCAGACTATATAACTAAAAAAATTCCTAAGACACAACAGAAAATGAAACTATTTGATTCAAAATGGGCTAAGGACTTGAATAGACGTCTTCCCAAAGATATACAAATAGCCAGTAAGAAAATCTAACTACATAGTGAATACCAACAAAACCGCAGTGACATGTCGTTTCACACCCATTAAAATGGTTGTGATTAAAAAAAGAAAAAAAAAACCAATGTTGACGAAAATGTTGGTAGGAATATAAAACGACCCAGCTGCTGTGGAAAAGAGTATGGTGGTTCCTCAAAAATTTCAAAATAGAATTACCATATGCTTTCGCAATTCCTCTTCTGAGTAAATACTCAAAACCATTGAGAAAAGATGGCTTAAGAGATATTTGTACACCCACGTTCAGGGCAGCATTATTCACAACAGCCAAAAGGTGCAAGTGACCCAAGTGTCCTTGGATGGCTAAGAGGATAAACAAAATATGGCATGTACATACAATGGAATACTATTTAGCCTTAAAAAAGAAATGTGATGTGGATGAATCTTGACCTTGTACTAGTGAAGTAAGCTAGACACAAAAAGACAAATGTTGTTTAATTTTACTTCTGTGGGGTACCTAGAGTAATCAAATTTATGGGCAGAAAATAGAATGTAGTTTCCAAGAGCTGGAGAAAAGGGAGAAAGTAGAATTAGTGTTTAGTGAGTTCGGGGTTTCCGTTTGGGATGATGAAAAGCTCTGACAACAGATGGTACCAGTGGCTGCACAACAGTGTGAATGTGCTTAATGCGACTGACCTGTTCACTTAAACCTGAGGAAATGGCAAATTTTACGTTTTGTATATTTCACCACAATCAAAGATGAGATGCCTGCATCTCATCCCAAGATCCTAGGACTTAATTGGCTTGAGATGCAGTCTGGGCTTGGATTTTTAAAATTTCCCATGTGATTCTAATAGGTTGCAAAATTTCAGAAACACTATTCTATACCAGTGCTTCAGGTTCCTCAAACTTGAACGTGTGCATGAATCTCCTAGTGGTTCTTGTTAAAATGCAGATTCTGATACAATAACTCGGCTGCAGAGCCCAAGATTCTGTATTTCTAGCAAGCTCCCAGGTGGTGTAGGTGATGCTGATCCATAAACCATACATTGAGTAGTGAGATTCTTTACCACAGCTCCCAAAGTCATGAAACCAGGCTGTGTGCTACAGTGAAGGTACAAGATTGGCTCAAGAACCTTCTGCTCTGCTTCTAGAACTAAGGAATTGAAATCAGTCACTAAGCAATGCAATCCCCAGGGCCACCCAGACTCAGGTCTTGGAACCCTCAAAGTAGTAGCTGTCTTTAGTTCAAGGTCAAATTACCACCATGGATTCGGAAGGACAAATGGATTCTGGTTCTAGGTTTTGTGAAGAGGTGAGAAGAGGGGAGGAGTTGAAACTGGAGGGGGTCAGCCCAAGGAGACCAGAGATAGGTGTCATCGAAAAGAGGGGCCCAGAGAAAATGGGATATGAGCAGGAATTTGTAGGCCAAGACAGAGACACATGCCAATGTGTTCCCAGAAACCGCCAAAGGAAGCGCCCTATTACTATTTGTTGAAGTAAGGAAAGAAGGAAGGAGTCCAAATAATAATATAAATCAGCAGAAACCATTTGCAACTCATCACAGGTGTCTAGAAACTTCTTTCTCTAAATCCACGCTTCTCAAACGGAAATGTGCTTGACAATCACCTGAGGATCTTGTTCAAA